AGGAGATTTCAGTCTTAAAGATGAATCGCGTGCTGGACGCCCTGAAAAGATTGAAACGGACGAATTGCAAGCACTGCTGGATATAAACTCTGCGCAAACTGAAAAGGAGCTTGCAGAACAGCTTGGCGTTACGCAGCAAGCCATTTTTTTCGTTTGTTTTTAAATAAAGATTGAATTTTACAAAAAAAAGCTCAGAACTTTTTTGTACACAAAATAACAATCAAAAGACTAAAAACTGTGTTTTCTATTTAATTCAAATCTTGCGTTAATTTTGGGACACCCTTTATAATACGTAAATAGTAATAAATAAAAAAAGATAAGTATAAAGTGAAAATTTTACCATTCGATAATCAAGGAAAAAAATTAAAGAAATAGAATTTAACAGTTTGTTTTATTTTATTGCACTATGCATTGCTATCATAATTGCGTTTAATAACTTTTTTTTTATTCGCTATCTGCAATCTGTAAATTGCATATCTATTAATTATTTTTTTATCTAAATTATGACACAACAAAATATGACTGTTGCTTAAAACATTTAAAAACTTATCAAATAATTTTTATAAGCGCGATTCTTATTGCACATAGAATTTTGATGCTGCAAATATAAATTCCATGTTTTTAAATAACTCAAATGTTTCATCATTTAGAAAAAACAAAGTATTTTCTTTATAATTTCGCAGTCGCACTAGTTTCGCATGTTTTGAAAAAAAAGTTCTTTATGTGGCACCTAAGCTACGAATACAACACTCACAAACTTTTTTTTTTTTTTAATACTTCTTATAATGTATCCAGCGATACTATATAAAATATTAAGTTAAGAATAGTCCAATTCTTTAACATCCTGAACTACAGGTATATAATAAAGCATCGTTTGATTTACTATGAAACTTAGATTTATGTTCATAGATAACATCTAGAAAACGTGTTACATATTGCGTATCATTTTCTTCGTAATTACCTTGAGAAACTGGACGTGTATATAAGGAAATGGTAATTAATTTAAGATTATTTTTAAGTTGTAGAGCATTTAATGTAACATTATGCTTCGAACAGAAAAAAGATTCTCTGCACAGTCCTGCGTTAATCTACCTGTTAGCAAGAATTGAAATTTTTTTTTGGTAAAGAGATCTGCCAATCCTAAAACAGATTTAATTGAAATAATCACTCCTTTCTGGAACAGAGGTTTAAATTTCCCTTTCTTACCAATATGAAGATTAAAAAATATCTCTACAACTTTATTAAAAAAAGAAATAATATCTTTATATTTTGCCAAGTTTTTTGTACCTAAAGAAATGCTGCAGTATTTTGAAGTCATAATCGTATACCATTTTACTATTATTTTGATAAAAAATGTTGTAATAAGATATTTTGGTGTTGAATTTTCATCAGCTAAAAACTCCAAAGCTGTGCTCATTTCATGACTCAATAAATTTTTTCGCTTTATTAATATGCATTTTATCAAAATTGTTATTCGTATCGACATCGTTTATACATAATTTTGGCGTTAATAAAAATAGACAATCTTGTTGCGCTACAATTAATTCTGTGAAGTGTTTTGTTTGTACCATATTTATTGATAAATTATACTTATGTTATCAGGTAATAGGAGGAACTTATTATTTAAAATACACGCTTTTAAATTTTTTAATAAGTACGATACGTCCGCAATTATGTACAAATTACGACTTGGGTCACATGGATGTGTAATATGATTTACGATTTTGCTATGTTTTCCAATTGTAATTTCCAATATTTTTTATAAAGCTTGATTGCCATATCAGACGTAATAGAATTTACTGTAAGATTAATTTGGCTCTGTGAAGTATATCAATTATTATTGGTTGTAACGTAGTACCTTTAAAAGCACCACCCATCAAATAGTAGCCAATAATCTGTTTCCAACGACATGCAATACCGCATAAGATAAACACCATAGCATGTGACGCCATACCTGTATGGCCTGGCAAAGTTACAGTTCCAATGTTACTTTGCGAAGAATTGTCAAATTTTTCATCTGATGAAATACTAATTTCATCAAAAACTAAACAACATTCTCGATTAATTTCATTCCAATTCGACACCTTCAATTTTAAAAAAATTGAAAAGATCGTCCGAAATTCCGCTTTCAAATTTAAAATTTTCTAGTTTTTTTCGCAATGTTTGAAGCCCTGGCAAAGGGAGCTTCTGATGACAGAATTCTTCATAACCAGTAACGCCACAAGAAAATCTTAATTTAAGTGTCTTCATAATTGATTCATTGCTCCATTTTTGTACTCTCCTATTATTCTTCAAAGCTACAATTTGATCATCGCTAAATATTTGTCGTACCCTGCTTAAGAAAACCATATTGGTATCATTTCGTTTCTTATTCAGTTTTATCGTCTTTAAGTTACGTCATATAGTATCGATGCAATTTTTATACTTTCTTAGTTTGATAATTTGTTTTTTAATTATATGTGATTGTTCACATATAATTTGTTTCTGTTTTTTTATTGTACGTGACATGTTTTTAAATTCATTGTTGTTTTTTTATTTTCGGTACTTTTCACTTGCAATTCATTCTCACAATCATTATTTCTTTTTTTATTTTGTACTGATAGATCATCTTCGTGAACACAACTCATTTCATCATTCTATGAAGCAGGTCTAGCATTATCATTTTGTGAAGCAGGTATAGCGTCATTATTCTGTAAAGCAGTTCTAGCATCATCATTTTGTGAAGCAAGTGTAGTGTCATCATTCTGTAAAGCAGTTCTAGCATCATCATTTTGTGAAGCAGGTTTAGCGTCATCCTTCTGTAAAGCAGTTCTAGCATCATCATTCCGTGAAGCAGGTCTGACATTTTCGTGGTAACTTTTCTGAAATCAAATATTTAAGATTTATCATTATTAATTTACAATTATTTCGTGTAAAGAAAAGTGTCTTTTGTCAATTTCGATCGCCTAGATATGATAAAATTGTTAAAAAGTTCGTAGTATTTGAAAAATACTTCAAAAACAGCACGAACATATTTATCCAAATTTCAATATTCTTGTTTAATTTTCGAGATGCACTTCAAACACCACGAAATTTTTAATAATAGTCGTATTCAGCAGAATTTTTGTCTAAAAAGATATGAGGAAGAAAGATAAAGGAAATAGTGTTTTTTTTTTTAGGTGTTGATCTCATATATATGATAAGAAGGCTGCATTCAGTAGAAAGTTTATTTTACAGTTGTTGGAAATTTTTACTTTTAAATCTAAAAGTATAATCCAATCAGCGCTAAGAAAATTTCTAACAGTTGCAAAATAAACATTCTTCTAAAGCAGCCAATTTTATTGTATCTAGGACTAGGAGACTAGGAGACAAGATCAACATTTATAAAAAAATACTATTCCCTTTATTTACACCTTTTACGGTAAAAATCAGATTTTTTCAATATCCTCCTTTCCAACTGTTTTTATATTTTGATAACTTACGATTTTCTTTGCTTATCGGCACAGCATTTATTTTAAGCTTTCTTTTTCCATCAGCTCGGTTATTTTCAATAATAAATAATGAATAAAATATTAGGAAATGATAAACTTGAGATATAAAAATCACAAGCTTAAAGACATAAAGAGAAACAGTTAATTATTGTAAATGATCTACTATGATATTTTTAAATAATGTAATAATTAACTACTCTTAAATTAAAGGCTTTGATAAAGTAAGAATTTAAATATTAAATCTCAAAAATATTGTTTGAGCCAACACTGATTGTCTAATGCAAATACATACGAGTACATAGAGTCAAGAAATAATATTCGCATTAGATAATGTTAATTCGAATAATACTTTTAAAACTTATATTTATATAATATTTATGCATAAGTATGTCGTTTATATGTCAATTTGTGAAAAAATTCTTAAACATAATTCTGTAGATAATCTTGAACATACTTCACACAGAAATGATCTATCGATAGATGTCCATTCTTTTCTGCCAACCTGTGGCGTCCATTGGGTATGCCGAACTGGATCTCGGAAGAAAATTTTCATAAATAAATCCTTTTTTATCAGAATTTGTACATCCAGGAGAATTTGTACCTGTCATGTTGCTTAAATATTCTATTAGTTATTTATAATGTGTATATGTTAAAGAATATGTGTTATTTCTGGTTAGCCGTTATATTATTCAGTTTAAAGATATTTTATAACAGTGTAAAATTAAAAATACTTACCTAATAATGTCAATATTGTTTTGGTAAATGTTAACGAGACCCCCTATACCTCGAATTTTGATAAAAATATGCTCAACAATTGTCGTTTAGCTCTGTGAATCAAAATATTAATCGTTAAAGTGGACGACTATTCAGATTAGGAAATAAGTCACAAAATACTGCGATATATCACATGATATTATTGTACTACGTCATTAGAGAAAAAATGGCGGACCAATTGCAATGCTTCAAATCGAGATCTAATAAAACATATGTGATAGCCAGACTCTTATTATAGGGTCTCTATAAAGACTGAGCTCGCAGAATTAATGCAGATTTTCGCGCCTAAATTAAATTCATAACCTGTATATGGTAATATATCCAATTGATTCGTTAACATAACGTATATTCATCTTTTGTAATACTTCTATTTTACAAATAGTATATTTGAACTGTTATAATGTCTGAGCCTACCTGAAGTTACGTATTTGAAAATAAAGAATTTGCTAGTTAATTTTTAGATCAAAACTTATGTTGCACATATAGAATAAAATAAAATCAAATTGTATTAATATATTAAAAACTCTAACGAATATAAATCAAGTGATATAACTTATAAATTGCTAAAATTTATTTTGCAATGTAGTAGTTTTTTCTAAGAAAATACACTTTGCATATGAGTCAGCTACATTCATGTGTATGTATAATCTATTTTTAGTATATAAGACTGATAACTATTATCAATTTCTAGTAAAGCGAAAGACATTTTCAATTAATAGGGTATTTTTTATTTATTTATAAAAATAAACAATTTTATTTTATAATCTAAAGGACAGTTTACAGCTCTGTAGCGTTCGGAATTAATTCTTGGTACTCGGACTGTTCAAAGATCATGTGATCAAGTCATCTGCTAGCTCGTATCTTAGATTTACATTGCTAAATAACGCATCTTATGTGGACATGAATATAAACAAAAATAATGTCGCTTCAATTTTATTACTGCAGTCAATAAAATAACTTTAATAACACTTCATATTCTACATCGTTAACACATATGCAGGAATTGATATATTTAATACAAATTCTTACCTATGAAATGAAAGGCTCTTTTTACTTCTCTGCCCACACCCAGGCACACTTCATGTTGATATTTTGTAGACAATCACGCGATTTTATAATCTTTTAAATAACCTCATATACGATGATCTTGCTGACATATGCGTCTTATTAAAGACCATTAAATGTAAGTGCGCATGAGCACCTGAAAGTTTCTGATTTGCTCAAATATCGTCCTAACTAAAATGGTGACTGATAAATTGCAGCCACAATTTTCTATGCTTTACAGCGGAGATGCTCATTCCAGTGTATACTACTGTGATCAAAAAGTAAGGTGAATTTTTAATTTAAACTTTCCGCGCTAATCGATTCGAGCAAACTTTTTTATTTTTATGTTGGTATTACTGTTAGTGACATCTGTGGCAAATTTCATGTCAATGTCATCATTAGTCATATAGTTACGCTTGTGTTTTCTAAACGACTAAAAGTGATTTTGGCGATTTTTACAATGTCTGATTTTGCTGAGCAAAGAAGTGCCATTAAATTTTGTTTGCGGAATGAAATTTCGGCTGCGGAAACGTTCAGAATGTTGCAGAGGGCCTTCGGAGAATCGATTATGTCGCAGAAAAATGTTTATAAGTGGTACAAAGACTTCAAAGAAGGCAGAGAACGTACTGATGACTTGGAACGCCCCGGACGACTATCAACGTCAATTGATGAGCAACACGTGAAGAAAATCAAGGAATTGGTGCTCGAAAATCGTCGATTGACAATTAGAGACCTTGTCGATATGGTTGGCATTTCATTTGGTTCAGTTCAAACAATTTTGACGGATTTATGGAAAGACAATTCCTGGTTTTTGCATCACGATAATGCGCCGTCTCACACGGCATTGATTCTTCGTGAGTTTTTCGCCAAAAATTCCACTCATATCGTTCCGCAACCGCCTTATTCACCTGACTTAGCTCCGTGTGACTTTTGGCTATTTCCCAAACTCAAAAGACCGCTCCGGGGACACCGCTTTGAATCTATTGAAGAGATTCAACGTGAATCGCTGCGCGCTTTGAAGGCTATACCGGGAAACGACTTTTTGGCATGTTTCGAGGCATGGAAAAAACGTTGGCATAAGTGCATTGTATCGGAGGGGGATTACTTTGAAGGGGATCAAATTGATTTGGATGAATAAATAAAGATTTTTTATTTTATAACAAAATTCACCTTACTTTTTGATCATAGTAGTATATAGTTCAGTGTCTGGTATACGATGTTGATGTAACATATACATAGGTTTACATATGTTGACTAGTAATGTTTCTATGTCACGGGCATGCACCATGAGTTAATACATACCAGAGAGAAATCTGAGAGAAGATATACGGCCCAAAAACTGTAACCGCAAAATGCTGCCGTGCACTACTGCTCTGTGACAAAGTGGATGCAAACTACATAGCAACGTCCACTTTTCTTAGGGTACATCATCCACTTTTCAAGGCTGGAGATGATAAATCGATATTTAGTTCATATAATCATGCTACATGTAAAACAATTGTCGTAGAGCAGTATGCGCGGCAGCATTTTACGGTTACAGGTCGTCATGTTTCTCTCTGTACATACTTTTCGGAATCATGTATTACAGCCAAGTCAGCGATCGAATGTTAGATATAATATCTATGGTAGAAACTCTAATCAGTCTGGCCAGCTGAAGTGGTCGCCATTTTTCATAGATATTGTGCGAGAAAGAAAAATTATGCTATCTCACTTCATCTCATTCTACAGTGGCGCTTTAAGTTGCAATTCTATAAAGACACTCTATATGCTTCATAGTTTTCGACGAACGAACATTCTTGCACGTAGCTGGCGACTACGATTAAAATTTAAAAAACATAAAAATTTAGTAGTGTCTGATCACATAAATATTACAACAGTAAATCTATGGCCATGCATTTAAGTGAAAGCATAACATATTTTCATTATACATATAAATGAAATGGATGAAAAATATTGGATCAATCACAAACTGGGAAGAACGTGATCATACTCTGATTAGAGGATTTCTAGTGGCGAATAGAGTGAAAATAAAGAGAGTGATGCCAATTAGCCGGAAGTCACCATTTTGTGTCCTACATCTGCGGTATCTATATGACGCAATTTCTTGTCTTAACTTCTTCTTTCTTTAACATTGTCTTCTTTCTAACTAATAGTAAGGACACTTAATGGCGGAGCTAATCAGCACTGGCTCTCTTTATACCGGCTGCGTTTCCATTTCGTTTCAGTGCAGTATCCAGTAGCTGCCATTTTGTTGGATACTGTACTGGAGAAATTCCCAAATGACTGGATATCAGCTATTGACATCGTATCTCGTTTATCAGAACAGTTTTAGATTACGAGTTAATATGCGAGGCTGCAATGTATAATGTCACTAGCCAGTATCCAGCAAAATGACTGCTGCTGGATACTGCACTGAAACGAAATGGAAATGCAGCCACCCACTCTAGTGGCGAACAGATCACAACGCCATCGGTTACGAAGCGCGGAAACAAAAATTAAAGTTGTTCTCTTACAATTCTTTCTGTACTCTTAATGACAGAGATACTTTTTATTTCAATTGAGAATAAAAGTTTTTCATTATTTAAACTTGAAATGTTGGAAGTGACGAGATACGGGAGTGAAGTAACCAAGAATTTAAGATACAAAAAATTTATTTATTAATAAAAGTTCTTACATTAATAAATAAATTATTATATTGAAATATGTTATATAAAATTTATAATCCTTAGTTTATTAAAATTATATTAACAATTTCGGTAAAATTGCAGAAAAGGAAAGCAACCGCTGATATATGTTGTCAAGATCATAATCCTGAATGACCTTCAACAGGTTTTAGGTGTTGGTCGTTATTTATTAAAAAGTTATTAACAAAAAAATTGGATAAGATGTCTCATTTCTACTATATAAAACAGAAATTTTTTGCTTTCAAATATAAGGTAATTCGAGGGAAGATACGCCATAAGAGGGAAGACGCTACTTTATTTATAGGTTTTTTATAGAAGGCGCGTTAACCATATCACCGACGAGATACTATTAAAAACGGTCAACACTGGACAAATTTTCGGCGGTATAAAAAGGGCCCCAAGGACTCGGAGATAATTGAAAAACGCTGACATTATTGACAATTGATATAAATTTGCTATTATTAACATAAATATGTATTTGGTTCATACATTATTAAATTCATAATTTTTTATTACATAAATGTTTCATAAATAAATATGCATACTTGTAAAGCTGATGTTCTATATATTGCAGAAAAATTACAATTTTTTCTCTGCAGTTATCATTTCTGTTGATCAAATTTTGATGATAACACTAAAATCATAATTTTAAAGAAAAATCGAGTATTATTGAGTTCTAAATGCATAAATACATCTAAACTAATAAATCATAAAATTAGTACAATATTATCAATATTATTTTTAACTTTTAATTACTTCAATATTCACAAGCACGCAAAAACTTACTCCCGTAAGGATGTTGGTCTTTAATAGTATCTGTTGGTGGCCATACTGACTATGCAAAAGCGTGTGGCAAATAGTAGCGCAGTTATCGGCAGAGATGAATATGTGCCAACGTTGGTTGGAAAAATTATACGAAAAGGTTGCAAAACATGCTCTTTGTAATATTTGTTATGCTAATAGCTAAGGCCTGTATTTCGATGCTTACTGTAAAAACCGGGTAAATGATATACGGTTTTGATCAATGTTCCCTGGTAGTCATGTGGCTGATATAAATTATAAATAACAAAAATAAAAATATAAGGACTCTTTGTATATAAAATAAATAACAACAAATGAAGGGCGAAGTAAGAGTCAGCGCATTCCTTAAAAAGACATGTAATTAAAGATATAAATTAAAAGTATAGAAAAGGTATAAAAAAGGTATAGAAAAAGTATAAAAAATGAAGAAAAGATATATATTAAGAAATAATAACGGTGAAAGGTAAACATTACAAGTTTCGGCTACCGGATTGAGCCCTCTTCAGATGTTAACATAAACAGAACAGAATTAAAAAATAATTATCGCAAAAGTTCGTAGATTAAGAATACACGCAGTTCGGTTGAGTCTCGATGTATTGTAGAACTCGATATTATTCGTACGATTAAACAGTCAAAAAAAGTGTTCTGTCTCATAGCCAAGTTCTAGTTGATAAAAAAAGAAAAAAGAAAAAAGAAAAAGATCTTTTGTGAAAAAAGTAAACTTAAATAAATTGACAACCGTAATTAAGATAAAAAGTGAAAATTTACCAGCAAACATATGTAATAATTCAAAACTAATGTATAAGTATAACAAGTAGTATAAACGCATACAGAAGAATGGAATGCAGATGTGAAAAAACGAACATTGTGTATCGACTAATGCGACCGCTCGCTGAAACGAATCGCCACGCACTGAGAGAGGAGACGGGCCGTCAGTATCAAAAAAGTCAAACTTTATTTACAATGGGTAAATATGTCTTATGAAGACCTTCAGTGTCCGTTTGTAAATTAAGACTGTTTTTCTGCTTCTTTATGTAAAGCATTTCGGCAATTAAACGCTTCCTATAACAAGGCTCTTCATCTAAGATTTTGACGTTGTCCCATTGGAAATGGTGATTACATTGTAGCCTATGTTCAGTGATAACAGAAGACGGACAGAAGTTTTATGCTGATATGATTACGATGTTCAGTAATTCTGGTTTTCAATTGTCTGCCCGTCTGTCCAACATAAGACGCATCGCAATTGTTATACGATATTTTATATACTACATTACTTTTTGATGTATGAGAACAAATGTCCTTCTGTACTTTTATGTATTTACCCATTTTGTTGGGGATATGAAAGGATACCCTGATATCGTTTTTATTAAATCTTCTAAATTTCTCCGTGTGACAAGGAATGTATGGAACCGTAAGCCAAGAAGCAGTTTCATTCGTACAGACATTGTCAGTCAGATCATTATGTACTTTGTATCTATTATTAATTAAATTTTTGATTCGTTGATTAATAGTGTCAAAAATAAATTTCAATGATAGTCATTATCTAGTAAAATATTAATAATAAAAGTCAGATTTTTTATATGAAATATAATGTCAGATAATAAAAAAGCTCTATCAACTAACAAAAAAATGGTGCCTTTTTTCTGTGTCAAAGGATGATTAGAATAAAAATTTAGAAACCTTCCTGAAAACATCGGCTTACGGTACCAATCAAAAATGGAACGATTGTTGTTGGATAC